TTCTCTTTCAGCCCTGTCCCCAACCTTGTCTGTGAGTTTGTACTGGAATCAGGCAAGAAAAGGATGCTGGGGATGTGTGTGTACGTGTGTGTGTGTGTGTGTGTGTGTGTGTGTATGTGAGAGAGAGAGAGAGAGAGACAGAGACAGAGACAGAGAGAAAGAGAGAGACTTTTGATTAACCTATCCCAGCAGTGTTTATCAGGCCTATTTTTCTAATCACTCAAAGAGCCTGAATTGGTCGACTTTTCCTGCATGGCAGCCTTGAGTTTTCTTTGTAGCTTATCTGCCCATCACAGAGAACAGCAGTACCCTCATGAACGCCGCTCCTGCGTAATGCAGGGAGCTTAGCCTATCTGCCTCTCCCCTTTGTGTTCCCTTTCATCTGACTCTCACCATGTCACCAGTTATCTCATTCCTTGACTTCAAATTCCCTCATGACATGCTAGGCTACGGTATGCTATGTAATATGATAGAACAGGATATAGCATAATTCTCTGGAGCCTGTTGGATAGGGATAAGGGCTCAGGTTGATGTGTTGGATCTAGACAGACCTCGCTGCTCTAGAGACTTCTGCCAACTTAGAGCAGCAGCCGGGATTCAGCACATGAGGAATGTTAAACACGAAGGCAAATTTACTAAGCATCTACTGTGTTCCACATGATATGCCTGGATGAGTGGAAGATAGAGCTAAAATAAATCATTTATTATGTGGCTCTAGATAAGGAGTTTACTGCCGAGCAGGGAACTGTAACATGGTAACATACAATAAAACATACTGTAAAAAAAGTGATACAAGTGGGTTCAGGGAAGGGTTTCTCTCTGCCCAGTGAGTCTATCAAGGAAGACAACGCATGTGATCTTTCTATGGAGAAAGGTCCCTTCTAGACAGAAGAGAGAGCGTTAACAAAGAAGCCCATGCAGACTAGAGAAGCAGGGCATCCCACACGGATGGAAGCATGAGAGACGACACGGGGGAGTTGGGGCCAGCTATGGGGGGGAGGGGAAGAATAGGGCTTAAAATTTTAGATTTCATGTCTAATACCATTTTAATTAGGTCATTTCCTTGCTCTAAACTTGCACTGGCTCCTCCTCGCTGGACAAATACAGGAAGAGCTGGCGGCTGTGTAGGAGGAAGTGGATGCTGATTATATGGGGCTGGGATGAAAGAGAAAGATGAGCTCCAGCCACATAGTTTGAAGACTCCAGTAAAGCCATAGGATTCTCTTTCCTCATATGTTAAGCAAAGCTGTCAATCCAAGTCAAGGCTGCTCAGTCTCATATTCACTAAAGGCTCAGTCAAGATACCGAATGGCTCTGTCCACTCCTGACTGCCATTCGTTTCCTCGTGTTAGGATGATTCCATAGTTACAGATCATAAGAGGCTCACAGAAATAAGCATGGAACAGGTACCTTTGGGCTGTTCGGCCAAGTGTTGGACTGGAAATTCAATGATTTAATATTCCAGGGAACCAGTTGTGTCACCGGGGGCTTGGGGCTACTCACTTGATCTTTTTTGTAATGTTTCACATTATGGGGATAATTGCACTGTTTCTCTCAGGGGGAGTTGTTAAGAGAACTAACGAAAACATTTGTGTTTAGAACTCAACGCTGGCTAGAGATTTTGTGTCAGTACTCAGGAAGTTGTATGTGGTTGTTTGAGGCATTTAGTTCTGAGATGCAGATAGCCATGTTTATGACTAATACAGTTCTTCTAGAGTCATTTGAATTTCTGGCTTTTGCCAAGAACCAAGTTTATATGAATTACAGTTATGCCTAAAGAAGATGGTATTCCTTTGCTCTTTCTCAAACAGGAACCAAAAGAAACTCTATTTAAAAGGTCTTTCTCTGATTGTTCAAGAGGTTGATTCCTGATACTGGTCTTGTATTTATAAGATTGACATAAGAATCTCCAGAACTTGAACATGAGTCGATGAATATATTGTGTCTCTAGTAAGTAATATTATAGTTCATTTTATAAAAGGCTTATCAACCCAGTACAGTACAAGAGAAAACTTACATACATTGAAATGAATTTGCCAGTCAAGAAGGCAAATGTAGATACTTTCAAAGGGGACATTTCTCTCCCCCTATCCCAAGCCTGCTGGCAGAACAGTAGCTCTTCCTCTGTTTCCTCTACAAAAAAGCCTGGATAAAGTTTGAGGATCCCCAACAGCAGGAATGATGGTGGGGGGAAATCACCTAAGTGCTCCCCATTCCTCTTGTCCATTAACACTGATAGGCAATGTCATCAAGACAAACCCTGATGTGATTTATTGTTTTCCTATTACACTCGCTAGTTTTCTCCCCCATCCCATCTGGCTCGTGAAGTTCATCAAAGTGACTATCCAGGTGGAAAATGCCTTACACAGTCAATTTTGAAGGATCCATATGGATGGAAAGCAACATAACCCCTAATTAATAACTCATTGATAATTAGATCTCTAAAGAAAGTTTTAGCTCTAATGAGCTATTAGCATTTCAGGTTAAATTCTCTAGGACTCCATAAATAGTTGAATGCTTTGATTCTATTGGAAATACCAACCTTTCTTTTTCTATTCCAGCTGTCACAGTCTTTAGTACAAGAAAGAAGAGGGTTGAGGGGTACACAGGAAGGAAGGTGGTGATCACATACTGTACACCTTTACAGGGAATCCCTTGGGCACAGCAGACCCGGTGTCCCCAAATCATCATTTCCTTATTCCACGTACATCCCTCAACCCTCCTCCTTTTTATAGTCCATAATTAAATGAAAAGTCACCCCTTACATTCAGTCATCCAATCCCCCCAGTCTGGAAAATGTCTTCAGTCTTATTTCCCCAACCGCTGTTACTAATCCATTGCCAAACCATATCATCTTTACCTCTTAAATGTCTGTCAGTAGATCTCTTTTCTCCATTCCCTTTGCCTTCATTGATCGCCTGGTATTCTTAACTTCACTCCTAGAGAAGGAGCCCAGGAGCAAGCCCAGGTGTAGGGAAGATATGATTTCATTGGACCTGAAGCTAGAGAGACAGTGGTGTGTGGTTGGCAAGGCTCACCCAAGGCAGTGGAAGATGGGAAGAGTCTAAAGGAAGAGCTAAGATCCACAGTTCAGAAAGAGAGAAAGTATCAAATCCAAGACCCTGTGTATTTGGGCAGGAGAAGGGATGAGGTTATGGGGCTATTGCTGAAGGATTACTCAGTATTTGAAGTTTGCACTTAGGGCAGGAACATGATGGCCCAGTGGGACAGGTGTAGGCAGACATTGGAATCGTAAGCTTCCAAATCAAGCCTCCAGTCTCAAGAGCACTCAACTAAAATTCATAATTATTTCATTTGTCCTTTTTTCCCCCTAGGTCCCCACTAGAATCCTAAGCTTTGAAATCAGGGACTCCTCCACGTGTGTCACCATTTCACAACCCGGGCTTCCCCTAGTATTTCAGACATGGTAGACACATAATGTACTTATTGAAAACAGCATGAACTGGTATTGAATACTGAAAATCTAATCTCATCACCTCAGTGCTTAAGAATTCCTCAGTGACTCCATCAAGACATTAAGCTAAAATAAATCCAGAACCCTCAGCTTCGCATTAAGCAACTAAACAGAAAACAAACCATTTGGTTAGGTCAGGTTATTTTCCTAGTGGGTAGCTTACCATTTCCTACCCCCCTGCCTGCAGGGAGGGCTGCTTTCAATCTCAGTACACTATTTGTGGCTTTTTGCATGCGTCATACTCATTCTTTCTTAATACGCAGCAATAGTTCAGGAAACACACTTTCCAGAAAGCTTTTCTTAACTTTATCCCTGGCCTTGGTCAAGTAAGAAGGCAGTGATGGTTAATTTTGTGCCAGCTTTGCTACGGCCAGGTTATTTGGTCAAACACCAGTCTAGATGTTGCTATGAAGGTTTTTTTTTTTTGGCTATGATTAACATTTAAATCAGTAGACTTTGAGTAAAGCAATTGCCCTCTATAACGTGATTAGGTCTCATACAATCATAGAGAATTTAAGAGCAAAGATTGAGGTTTCCCAAGGAAGAAGAAATTCTCCTCAAGGCTATAGCACAGAAACGCTGCCTGGATTTCCAGCCTGTGACCAGCCCTACAGACCTCAGACCTGCTAAGCTTCACAATGGTAGGTGACAATTCTGTAAAATCAATCCATCAATCTCTCCCCACCCCACCCATATATATGTATATATGTGTATATATACAGAGAGAGATTGTGTTTCTTTGGAGAACCTAGACTGATACAGAAACTTTCTATTTTATCTCCTATGTCTAGAACTTTGCAGAATGAGTCAATGAAAAATTAAATCTAACATGAAATCACCCTCCCTTCACAGAAGAGCACTTGGCAGTGCAGACATAATCAGCTCATGGTAGGGAAACACTAGTGAGGTTAACTGACACCCGGTCTCCAGCATATCCCTCAGTAGCCCCTTCCCTGTCCCCGCCCATGACTTGATCATCTGAGGCAGAATCAAAAATAATGAGGAAAACAGACATTTTGTGAGTCCCTTCATTCTGTTTTGAATGTGGGGGAATACATTACAAAGACTTCAACGGCCACTACCAGCCCTGTGATTGGGAATGGCTGCGTGGGACCTCTGCCCTCCTGGAAGGAGGCAGCAAAATCCGCTGCTCCTCTAAGAGAGCCTAAAAGACGGGACACCTTTCTCTGTGCATCCTGTCTCAGCCTTTTCTGTGTGGGCTTTAATTTTTGAATGACCGAGGAGTCACTGAAAAAGACCTATCCACACCAGCTGCTTTGGCCCGCTTGTCATTCTAACCTCTGGTCTAAACAGACCTCAACATGTCTTCAGTGAGGTAAGTAAGCACAGGGCTGAAGCTCTAGGCAAGGATTGCCAGCCACCAGAGATTTTTCTCGTCCTTGCTGGACTCTTGAATTTATGCTGGAAAATGCCAGATCATTCCCAGTAGGTATGACGGAGAGTAGGTACTGGTGAATAGTTATCGACAATCTCCTCCAATGACATGCACACTGAGAGTTCTTACCGGTAGCCACTTTGTCAGCTCCCTCCTGCTCGGGCTCCTCTCTCTGGGTATTGCCTTCCTCCATCAGGAACTTCTGCTGAATCTCAGAAGAGAAACTGGGATCGATGCCGGCCTGTACTCAGTGAGAAAAGAAAAGTACCATGACTGGGAAGCCAAGGCAACCTCTGAAAACTGAAGGTCAACAGAGCTAACATATGGGGAACATGAGTGGCTGTTGAATTTGAAAAACAGACATCCTGGATCATCTTCTAATCCCACTGCAGGCTACCCTTTAGAATGACAGATTTAAACCCCATCACCAGCAACAGCACACTTTGGCAGTGGGGGGATGAGGGAGGGCGCCTGGGTGGCTCAGTTGGTCAGTTGATTAGGTGTCTGCCTTCAGCTCAGGTCATGATCTCAGGGTCCTGGGACAGAGCCCCCATCAGGTTCCCTGTTCAGCAGGAAGTCTGTTTCTCTTCCTCCCTTTGCCCCTCCCCCTGCTTATGCGAGCTCTCTCTCTCTCTCTCTCTCTCCCTCTCAGTCTCTCTCAAATAAATAAATAAAATCCTTAAAAAACACACACACAGGGGGCACCTGGGTGGCTCAGTGGGTTAAGCCGCTGCTTTGAGCTCAGGTCATGATCTCAGATCCCTGGGATCGAGTCCCGCATCGGGCTCTCTGCTCAGCGGGGAGCCTGCTTCTCTCTCTCTCTCTCTCTCTCTCTCTCTCCCTCTCTCTCTCTCTGCCTGCCTCTCCATCTACTTGTGATCTCTCTCTGTCAAATAAAAAAAAAAAAGAGTAGCTTTAAACACACACACACACACACACACACACACACACACCTTTGGGTAGAATTGTTACAGATTTAAAAAAACAGATGCCAGCAAACAAGTATGGCCAATATTTAGACAGAACAGTCAGTTTCTCAACATAGTTGTCCCAGCTTGGGTTCTATTGTTTCTTATTTTCTATTTTTCATCCCATGCTTTGCCAACCATCCTGTTAGTTACTTAGTCTTTATTATTTCTTTTAACTTTTACAAAATCTCATATTATAGAGAAGGGAACCAATGTCTTTGTTCTTAAGAGCCCCCCAAGGAGCTCTTGACTTTAAGTCATATCTTTCTCAACTCTGATGAGTCCAATTTTCTCTGCAGACTCAGAGGTGCCCCGGGAGGTGATGTGGTCCCACCGTCATGTAAGGGATCCAATTTATTGTGCACCTACTTTGCCAAATATTTCTCATCTAATTTTCACAGTGGCTCTAAGACTAAGTATTATCATTCCCATTTCACAGATGAGAGACCTAAGGCTTAGGACAAATAAAAGAGTTATTAAAATTCAGTAATGCATGTTACCTTGTAAGGTAACAGCCCTCAGCTACCATTAAGGTGCTGAAAGAGTATCGGGTTTTATTTAAATTATTCTTGGTATATTAAGGAGGATGGATTTTAAGAACTAGAGGCAGAAAGACCAGTTAGAGGTCTATGCAATATTTCTAGGAAGAGACATTAAGAAACTAAAGTAGGGTATTTGTTTAAGATAACAAGGTTCAGACTGTGATATACATATAGATCTAGAAACAGGCATAGGCATAGGCATAGAGATAGATATATTATCAGCACAAGATAACTCAAGATGATTTATTGGTACTGGAAGAAAGGTATGGGGAGAGTATGGTGTGATTTTGGTAGCTGATAGATTACGATGCCATTATCTAAGAATGGAAATACTGGAAGTGGAGCAGATGTAGAGTGAGGAAGGGAATTCAATTTTGGATGTGTTGATTTGTCAGTATGTCAGTATGATTTGTCAATATGTCAGTAAAGCATCCAGGCGAAGTGCAGGGTAGACATCATGGCTAGAGGTGGAAATTTGGAGGGTTAGATCATGAGAAGCTTTGCTTCTTCTCAAAATAGTCAAGTTAAGTTGGCTCATATGTTGAGAGAAGATAAAGAGGGAAATGGTAAAGATCTAGAAGGGAGGGAGATGAAGTGATGAGCAAGGTTGTGGGAGAAAGAGTGAGGACCGTGTCAAGAACCCAGCTGGAGGATTGGCCTTGACTAGAAGAAGTGCTCCTCCTTTCAACAGAGTTCATAGAGGAAAGGTGATGAGGACAATGCCTACATAGATCAATGACCGTGGCCAGAAGCATTAAAAGTTGAGGATTTTTACATGATGAGGGCCTCATGATTATCAGGAAAGTATAAGACCAAGTCTCCCGTGGAGAGTCCATCAGCTTGAACATTTTCATAGGAGATAAATGCTGAAACATAGTCTTCCAAAGTTATATTAAAAAGAAGCTTGGGGGCATCTGGGTGGCTCAGTGGGTTGGGGCCTCTGCCTTCAGCTCGGGTCATGATCCCGGGGTCCTGGGATCGAGCCCCGCATCGGGCTCTCTGCTCAGCAGGGAGCCTGCTTCCCTGCTCTCTCTCTGCCTGCCTCTCTGCCTAGTTGTGATCTCTCTCTGTCAAATAAATAAAATATTTAAAAAAAAAGAAGCTTGAAAAACTTTGTGCCACAAATAATGCCATCAAGAAAGGGAAAAGACAACCCATAGAATGGTAGAGAATATTTGCAAATCATACATCTGATAAGGAACATGTAATCTGGAATGTCAAAGGATTCTTAAAAATCAAAATGGTCACAGGATCTGAATTTCTCCAGAAAAGATATACAAATAGCCACTAAGCAGATGAAAAGATGCTGAACATCATTAATCATTAGGGAAAAACATGTCAATACCACAATGGGATACCACTTTCCACCCATGGGGGTAGCTTTAATGAAAAGACAGATAACAACAAGTGTTGGACAGGATACATGCAAGGAGCTTCTGGAAAAACAAAATGCCACTTTGGAAAACAATGTGGCAGTTCCTCAAATGATTAAACATGGAGCTGCCATAAGTTCCAACAATTCTACTTATAAGTGTATACCCAAAAGAAATGAAAACATATATTCACACATGACTTGCATACCAATGTCTGTATCACTATTATTCATAAGAGACAAAAAGCAGAAACAACCCATATGTCCTCCAATAGGTAAATGGATAAATGAAATGTGGTAGATCTGTATAACGGGATATTACTTGGCAGTAAAAAGGAAAGGATGCTCCAACACAGACAAACCTTGAAAATATTATGCTGAGTGAAAAAATCCAGTCACAAAAGACCACATCTTATATAAGATTCTATTTGTATAGAATGTCCAGAACAGGCAAGTCTATAAAGACAGAAAGTAGACTGGTGGTTGCCTGGAGCTGGCTCTGGGAAAAGGTCGGGGAGGGATAGGAAGTGACTGATAATGGGTATAATGTTTCTTTTTGGGGTTAATGGAAATGTTTTAAAATTAGATTGTGGAACATTCTACGAATACATTTAAAAAACCATTGAAGTCTATACTTTAAATGGATGAATTGTATGGTATAGGAATTAAATCTCAGTAATTTGTTAAAAAAAAAAAAAGAAGCTCTGGGTCTGAGTAAAGGACTATGGACAGAAGCAGGAGCTAAGGAACACCTCTGAAGACCAGATAATGATAATAATAGCCATTACGTTTGAGGATTCACAAGCCAAGCATCGTGCTAAGGGTTTCACTTACATTATCTCTTTTAATCTTTGCCACAAACACACATATATATTAGATACTTTTCCCTTATTTTGCAGACAATAGAATTAAAGTTCAGAAAAATGTAAGGAACTTGTTCAAGGTTAATAGCAAGAAAGAAACAGAGACAAAATATATAGACCTAGAGGGATGCGTGGGTGGATCAGCTGGTTAAGCACCTGCCTTCGGCTTGGGTCCAGGTAGTGATCTCAGGGTCCTGGGATAGAGTCCTGCATTGGGTTTCTTCTTCAGCAGGGAGCTTGCTTCTCCCTCTGCCTGCTGCTCCCCCCGCTTGTGCTCTCTCTCTCTCTGACAAATGAATAAAATCTTTAAAAACAAAATTAAAGGTCTCGGGTGCCTGGGTGGCTCAGTGGGTTAAGCCTCTGCCTTCAGCTCAGGTCATGATCTCAGGGTCCTGGGATCGAGTCCCATATCAGTCTCTCTGCTCAGCAAGGAGCCAGCTTCCCCCTCTCTCTCTCTGCCTGCCTCTCTGCCTACTTGTGATCTCTGTCTGTCACATAAAAAAAAATTATTAAAAAAATAAAAGGTCTTAATATATCTATATCTGTATCTATATCTATATCTATATCTATATCTATATCTATATCTATATCTATATGTATCTAGGTCTGTGTCAGTCTGGAGCCTCTTTTTAAAATCCCTGTTCTATGCTGTTTCCCACAAGACTTGCCATTCCACTCAGCTTCAACTTTCTAGGTTCAGCACAAATGACTTTAGGCCAACCTCTTCTCCCCTGGCGCTCCCACAGCACCTTGTGGGAGCACTCCACCAATCTGAGAGTAGTAGACAGTGTTTTCATTTCTGCCATCCACACCAAGCATTGTAAAATAAATGTGTCAGTAAGGAAGAGTTGTAGAATAAACACATCCATAAATTAGGTCTGTCCTAACCTCGTTCGCACTCAGGAGTCTTAGGAGCAGGACCGCTACGTTGGACCGGGAGGTTTCCTGAGGTGTGGAACGCTGAGAGATAAAGGAGCCAACAGAGAATGTGTCTCTCCATTCCCCTCTACTCTGAGAGGTTGTGAGTGAGAAGAAAAGAACAGAAGCTAATCTCAACTGTTAGACAGGGAAACAGTGCTCCTTCCTACTTGCCTTTCAAGATGCTTCTCTCAGGTTTTGAGATCTTGATGCTACCTCTCAACTTTCCTCACTGATTTTACTGCTGATATAGCTAAAGTAGTTCTTGGCATGGGGTAAGGGCTAAAGAAATTGTATCTTGTTTTTCCACTCCTTTCACTGTCCTCCCTCCTATCCCCACTTGGCACTCCTCAAGTCTTAACTATTCACATACAGAGCTCTAGTGTAGAATAGGGTAACTGGAAAAGCAGACAAAACATACTCATCTAGTTCAATCTCTTCTGTGCTCGGCAATTACAGCAAAATGCTGGGAACCATTGAAACGGGGACCCTGAGTGTCTCCTGAGGAAACTACGGTATCTCTTCACATATATTCCAGCACTGCTTTCTTTATAATATGAGAAGCAGCAGGAGAAAAA